AGAATATTTTGTTAGATATTCACGATGAGAGGGTGACTTATCGACCACACGGTTTATCGTATCGTTTCTCCCGGAAAGCCCACGTTTTTTCCCCAGACCCGCTCAAGTTTCACCGTATCTTACAACCTTTAGCCCGGCTACCTATACAAAGCGAACGAAAACGCCAGCATTCGACAATTTGTCAGGACGAATGGGAACCACCGCGTTGGTTGCATATACGTGTACCCCCGAATGTTTGTGTATAGGATGATTCATACAACTGTTTACCGAACTTGTATTTTCAATCTTGGTTCGGTAAAGAAGATTTCGATCTACGAAATACGCCACCTAGGAAGCAGATAGACGATAATTAAAGTATGTTTTTGCACTGATTCATCGATCATTCCCATTTCTACGTGAAAGTTATGTACGTTCAAATACCGAGGAGTCTATCTGTCGTCACAATTTTAAGGATGCCTGGTTGATACTTACGAACCGGAACAGTAAATGGTTAACAGTTTTCTTTGTAAGCGGATTTTAATGAGATTTTTAATTGTAAGTAGATTTTAATCATAAATAATTTGATTATTAAACAGTTATTTATAGTAAGTGCTATTAAATAGAGTCCAATAAAATTAATATTCTAAGAAAAATAATTTACATTCTCATTTTGTTGATAAAAGAGTTTACTAAAATTATTACGTAATTTCGAAAATCACGAATTTGTATAAAACATTAGCACGAGTTTTCAAATGGAGAACCGAATCAAATTTTTATTTTACGTCATTCCTTTAATTATTCAAGATCTTGATTTTCTATAATTACTAAAGTCAAACTTACAATAACTATTTTATCGAACATCAATAAATTATCCTTATGTTACATTAAGTAACATAATCCTGTCGTATGAAATTATTGTTATAGGAGAGCAACGACCCAATCAAGAAAATGGAGCCATGAAGCAACCATTGTATTGTAATATAAATAAGTTTCCGCGTATTCAACATTTCGTTTGCATTGTTACTTTCAAGAAACAGCGACGTAGCAGTGCCAGATTTAAATATGTAAGAGGTATCTTGTTCATCACAAGCATGCGTATTTGCAACGAATCGTAATCGAATACTTCGTAAACCTCTAGAAATACTACAGAAAAGTATTGTAAAGCTTTATAATACTATAGAGAAAACATTGATACCTAATAAAATAACTGAATAATTGATAATCCGACTGCGAAGAGTCTCGAATTACCAAATCACCGATCGAGATCGCCAGACGATCTCAGAAGCAGCCGTTGATCGCTCGATTCGTCGAAACGGTTTCCCCTCGAGAGCTGTAATCGACGAAGATGAAAATCTCTTGTTACGTGGATCACCCTGTATATAGGTATAGGGACACAGAGAAACTCGGCCGGATCTGTAAAACTGAAGGCTCGTGGACAAAAACCTGACCTCTCGAACAACTGTGCGCCATGTGTGCGCCACTTGCGCGCTCTCTTCTCCCCATTCTCTTTCTTTCCAACGGCCTTCTCTCTCCCTGGCGATCCACACGTTGCTCTCTGTGCGCGTGTTCGGAGCTAGCAGCCATTTCTCTCCCTCACAAACTTCCCGATCGCGATTAATCAGGTAAAAGCGAGTCCGTCTCCGGAATGGAATCCGAACGTCGCGTCGCGGCGGACACGTCCCTCCCCTCCACATGTAAGTACTCGCGAGAGCTTCCTCTTCTCCTACGCTCGAATTAACGGGCCGCTAGAAACGAAAATAAGAAGACGAGGAAGAGGTTACGCGGGGAAGAACACGATCGCCGCTTTGTACCTTTCCTCTCCTTCTTCCCCTTTTCTAAGCTCCCTTTGCTCGCCCACACGTTCCACTGAAACGCCCCTGAGCCCTCCTCTGCTTTTCTTATTAAACAGGTCCTCCCTAGCTTGGTTTGTATCGGCTCTTCGTAGCGTAACACTAACCGTACCGAGACTTTTCTTACCGTAACCAGTCAAGTAACTGGTTACAAAATAAAAATAAGCAAGTTAGATGATCAATTCTTTTTAGTGGGAACAGAAACCAAAGAAAAGACAAACATTGGAAAATTCATTAATCGGACAATATTGGAATCGATACAAAACTTAATGCGTGAAAAAGAACGCAGTATTCTAAATTCGGTCATTTGATCGGTTCTCGGTGTGATTAGTATCAAATACTGTAGGCTCTTGTTTAGTTTACTAATGTTCTTAGTACACCAGTTCCTCTGTTTATTCGGTACTTTTTTGCGATTTTAAGGAATTTTTGTCACCGCCAAAATTAGTTTTCTAGAACATACCCGGTCTGATCTTTTGTCTGAAATTTAAAATAAGTCATTTGATATGAGGATTCGCAGTTGTTTGTCAGAAGAACACATGTAGATGCAACACTTCTTTTTTATGAATTAGTAATAGAAAAACTTCTTCTGAATTCAAATTCAAAACAATAACTAACCACAAAGCAAATTCTGGTGCTTTCATTTGTATTTTTATTTTTTAGTTTTAGAGAATTTGGCTAAAAATACAAGTTCAGTGAAAGTAATCGGTTCCGAAGAAATGCTAGAGCGCTGACTGTGAATGCGTTTGTGTATTTCACTTGTTTAAAGAATTTTGCTCATCATTCCTGTTATCGTGTGTGTATAATTTATAATTTCCTCGATGAATATTGTAGAAAAGAAACAACACATTGTTCCTAATTGTTCTTGTGGTAATGAGTGGAGAATCGAGAAAAGGAAGATGAAATCGTATGTAATCCTACCGTAGTAAAAGCAACACAACGAAGCTGGTTGGGCGTGTACCGTGGTCGAGCAGTTAATGTGTCGCTTTTTATGAGCTGGCAGGTTCTACAGAGTAACCTGGACACGCGGCCCTGTTGCAACAAAAAGGCAACTTTATGAAAGCCGATCTAATTGCTGTTCGCCGGCTTCGAATTGCAGGCTTTAAAATACGGTTTGTTCCTCCGGGCGCTTTATTGAATAGAATATACCTAGATGGGTATTCTAATAAAACTAGAAGAAAGGGTTGTACATTATTTATATTGATCCGGTATCATTAAAGATAGAATATCTTTTTAATCATCTTCTATGATGACAATAAGGTTACAGCTTATTAGACGATTTAAACTAAAAATGCTTTTAAATAATGAATATAGTAAACTGCAATTTTATTAATATACGAATGAGTTTCTAATGATAAAAATAAATATTAATTTGTAGTTAAAATTTGGTTATTTATTGAAAATATATTTCTCAAGAAATATTTATTGAGAACGATAATCTGCAGTAATGCGATGGTTAACATAATCTTTCGTCATTACATTAAGCTTCTAAAAGTAGGAAATAACATTAATTTACCTTACAAGATTAATGCAATCTAATAATAACAATTCAGTACTTCAATAACCACAATTTACTTCATTCCTTTGTACTTCATTCATCACATTACGTTTTTATTCATATTTTCTACACTCATACTGTAGGCACAGTGTTTTGCTTAAATAAATAAGTTATTTTTTCATTTATCGTTAAATTCTAGTCTGTTACTAAAATAACAATAGATCGTTTAATGACTTCTTACTTTCAGAATTAAGTTGTTTTAATCAAATCGTTTCTATAGATCTAACTCAAATCATTTCAGTCTACACAAATAAACAAATTAGTTCTTCCGTACGCACTTCTGAGGAATGAAAAACGTTAGCTTAAGAAAGTAGAAAGCTTAGGAAGAAATTGCCTGGAAAAACGAGCTAATTTCCTATTGGCCATCGCATCACATTTAACTAAAGACGGTGATCACGTTTACCCTAGATGTTCGCTAATAATGGGCTGATGATAGCTCAGCAACATTTGTCGAGAAGCGCATTCGGCTGTTGCAATCGGTAACTTTAATGTGGACTAGCTAGCCGTTATCGTCGTGATACGAACGGGGCATTTTTTATGCATGCCGCGGATAAGTCATGGCTAGTATGCCCGGACACGAACGAAGTTAAGCATCGGCGTATAATGTATCACGGGGCCAACGGACAAATATTTGTTACGTTCAGATTTCTGTTTGCCATGAGAGTGCCGTCGCAAAATAAGATAGCCACGGGGCCGGCTACCGTTCCATCCTGTCGTGCGTATTTCGGCCGGCCAATCAGGGACGCGTGCACCGGAAACAGAATGAGTGTTTACTTTTCAGCAAAGATCCTGTCGAATGAAGCGATTATATCGGTACTGCAAACTGCTTAAAAACTAGGTAAATCATCGATAAGTCAAATAAAGATTCGATGGCAAATTTTTGGTGGAGATTCGGAATTAATTTACGACGAGACGCTTTCGTTATAAAATCGAAATAAATAATAAAATAGGTAATTCAGTTTATTAACACTGGAATTACTATAATATCATTAATATGTAATACTTATAAAAATTCTAGCAGTAGATTTGTTTCGGTTTCTTCGTGTATTCATTGTAGTATTCAAGTGAAACTATTCATTTTTAATTTTCGCAATAATTGCGAAACAAAAAAATGAGATCAGTCATTTTGACTGCTTCAGAAGTTCTACGGTTAAAACATAAAAGAATTAATCTAAGAAAAATATATTATACGTTCTAAATGGTAACCCATTATTTCAACGGGTGCAGTACTTCTACTGTTAAGTACTCTATGAATGCATGAAATGGTGTAATTGAATATAAATGAAGCGTTGATCAATCGATTTGTGCTTTTTAAATATTGACGATTATGCTTTGGAATCAATTGTATTAAGGTTGAAATCACGCTACCGTGAAAAACTTGTAAAATGAGAAAGGAATTTGACCGGAAGTATCTCTGCATGTGAACGCCAAAGGCAAACGTGTAACTTGTTTTACATTCCATTCATTCGTCCACTCTGTGATTGCTCCCGAGAGATTCGATAAACTCATCACGACGCTGCGAGATATCGGTTTCGCACGATTTTTTGCCGCTGGGGGCAGCGGCGTCAGGCTTCGATCAGCAAAATGGTTTCTTCGTTCTGTTTGAATGTAATTTAATCACACCCGAAGCGAATGGAGATCGCATAATTGCACTCAATCGGTACGGTGGATGCTGAAGTTTCAAACTATATAGGACGAGCGAGGTAAATTGTACTTTCACCGGTTGCAGATGTTATTTGTTACATTTTTCAATTTGTGTGTGCAATTTTTGAAGATAATAGTAGGAATAGTAAGTTTTCAATGCAAGTTTTTATCAAAACGAAACAGACGATACGGAGAGGTAAAATACGAGGAATGGAGTATGAAATGGGGTATGTGTATCACTCTTATTATCCTTCATCAATCAAATATGATATCATTGCTGATTTCAGGAATGATTCTCTAGGTACGCGATAATTTAAAATTACTCCAAAACATTCTCTGCAACTCTATATGTAAAAAATGAGGTAAAAAATAATTTCTAACTGTACCTTTTTGCAATAACAATCTAAATTTCCTACTTCTATCTTTTACTTTTTGGATGAACACTTTTATTTGTACCTAATTCTTTTAATGACTCTTAATGACTAATTCTTTTAATGGCTTTTAATGACTATGACTCACGTTATTGAATTTTGCTGTATCTCTATGCAAACAAATGTTATAGAAGAAACTATACTGCACATTCGATTAAATTTATTTATGAAAGTGAAACTATTTTGTTCCGATACAGCAGAATTACAAGAAATAACTTACAGAATTCAGTTTCGCTTAACTCTAGCAAACAGGGCTTGCTATTTTCACAGAAAGAATTAATCTGATTAGTGTATGTGCAATAAATACACAACAACGGTATCAATCTTCATAAGGAATAATCGCAGCATACCTTGAAATTAATTCTACTAAACGAACCAGTTGAAAAGCGCAGTTCGAAATGGGTAACTCGGTGTAAAAGAAAATTACTCGCTCCTTTAGTAGCCATCGTTCGGAAGGTAATGGTCGAAGGGAACGGCAGAGGAACATGGAACGAGATCGTATTCTACGGGGAAGGTGGAACCGAACGAAAACGTGGGACAGCGGCGTTCTCTCTCGAGACAAAAAGTACAAAAGTGTACGCGAGCTTAGTTTACCTATGGCTCGGTGTGGCAATAACGACGATGGTCGCCATATGGGCGACAGCCCGAGGGCCCAGAGAACCCGTGCACCTTCCTCTCCTCCATTTTCCGTCTCTCTTTCTCTTTCTCTTCTCTTCCGGCACCCTTATGCGGGCCAGATTTTATGGCCTAGGTACACGCGTATACGTGCAAAGGGCTGGGCTCGCGCATGATTCCCCTCCAGGAGAACGATTCTGCAAAAACGTGGCGACGCGAGATCGCACGCGTGTGACTCATCGATAAATTCGAGTGTGTATGTATTTACGTCGCCGAGTACACCCAGTTCCCACGAGGACATCTCCCACCTATGAACCTAGACTGGTGCGTCCTCCTCCGCATTAGCATCGGATTGACGTCTGGCTTTGCTAATGATCGACTCAGGAATTCACACCGTTCCGCACGACGCGACGTCTATGGCCGTTTTAGGACTATTTCATTGATTCTTGCAGGTTAGGGGATGTAATTGTTTGAAAATTTGTATCTTAACATCGACAGTGGTTACGTGTACGGTGGTCACTGTTGACCGGGGCTTCCAAATTGCTTGAAGACAATTACAATGAGAAAATTGATATCGAATGAAAATCTTTGGTAACATAAATAGATAGGTAATAGTGTAATACGAGTACTATGATACCAAGTCATTACTAATTATTTCTAATGTCATTTGCCTTTGTTACGAAGGAATAATTATTAATTATTAATTTTACAGTTGCTTCTTTTAGAAAAGAAATAGGGTTAATCTTCTGTGGACAAGAATTTTGAAAATGTAGAAACCTTTCCGACAGAAATTTGAATTGTTCATTGAATACTTAAATAGTGGAAAAGTGGAAAACTAATGGTGCTTAAATTAAAAAACGTGATGATTTTATTCCGTGAAAAGCCACATACTATTTCTATTGGTTACCCATTCATCGAATAAAATTGTAAGTATATAGGCTCTGTCCTGTACGTTGAAGAGTTACCGGTATTTTCGTAACAATGCATCGTTTTTTTGTATTGCATTTGCATCGACGTTCCATCGAGTAGAGAGTACATCAAAAATATCCAGGTCATATATTGGAAGCTTCGACATAGACACGCGGAGAACGTGTTTTGCTCCAGCTAATTCTGTTTTATCGGTGCTGCGACGCTTTAACGTTGATGCTTCGAAATTTAACGTATCACCGAGAAACAAATTTCCTCATGTATATAATAAATGCACGCGAACGAGCGTCAGACCGTCTAGCTTGTGATATTCAATTTGCAAGAGTACAAGGATGTTGCGCCATTTTGTCGGGAGATTATCACCACGTATAGCGCGTCTCGAATTTTCCTTCATGCGCACTGAATTCGAGAAGATCCTAACATTTTTGCATTACATTTTTGCAAATATGAATGATACGATTGTTATTTACACTATGTTTTCGTCGAAATAGTTTTACTGTGCGGCTACACTCTTTCATGCAATGTAAACCATATAAAAATGCATGTTAAAATTCGGGTGAATGGGTTGAATCAAGCCTAATCGCGCGACAGAAGAAAAATAATTTGTGTTACAAAATCACGTAAAAGAAATCTTTTGAAAAACAGAATTTGGTGTAGATACATATGGACTTACATGTACTTAACATATTTTGCCCATAATGTATACAAAATGAATGCCAGTGGAACAGGTTAATTAATTGTTTGTATGTTATTGAGAATTCGAATGTGCGATGAATAAATGAACACCCGATGTCTACTAACTAACTACGATAATAATTTTCAGCACAGCATGTTCGTAGCTACTTTCATCTCACAGTAACACCATAATTTTATGAACGGAAATCAACGTTATCTCTCTGAGAACTAGGAAATAACTTAAAAAAGAACAGTTGAATTATAAAAGTTAGGTATCGAAAATATTACTAAGAAGTGTGTACATAGGCGTCAACACAAGTGCAAATATACCTGTATGCTTAATAAAACTATTGCAAACAACACGGTTTAAATATTTTAAGAATTTGTAGTTTTCATCACTTCCATAAATATAACGATAGAAAATACGGATATCAAGTTTCCCGTCATTTTGCAATATACATTCGAAATATTAACCACACACTTGTTATAAGTTTCCTTATTTGAAATTGAAATGTTTAGCAATCTATTTTTTAAGACCCTCCATTTGTTCTATTTTTATAACTGAAATTCACCGCTTGAATCAGATGGAATCACATTTCACATGACACTCAAATAGAAGAGAAATTGCCTATTATTCTCAATGGATGATCGATGAACTGCAAATATATTCTTCTTTGAACGAGGAAAGTTCAGAAAGGAAAACCAATGACCCGTGGTCAGGAAGTTGGCGGGTGAACGGATTTTATAGTAATTAAAACTGTTTGGAACGGTAATAATTGGAAGGGCGCGTAAACGAGGTGCGAACCGGCCATAAATCTGTCCATTAGTCGCGTCACAATGGACACGGACTGCGTTTTATCGCGTTTGACAGCCGTCGCAAAATAGATTTCCCGTTGATACGTGACGAATCGGTTGGCATACGCGTATCCCGATAAACTTGGCTTTCGTTGACGTAACGTTTTATCGCTTTTCCTCGATAATTTTATCATATTTGCACTCACACCGCGGCCTGTCGACCAATAGGAATAGTTTGGCGGCGGGCTGTGCGCAATATCGTTCGATGTCATCGCTTTTCGCGTGACGTTTTATTTTCGGTTATAGTTGCTGAGAAAATTTCTTCGGAACCGGGATCGGAAATGCATAAAACGATCCTAATTTACCGTGTACAAATTTATCGAGACAACTTTCATATTGACATTAACAAAATGGTTTCAATCAATATAGGGTTCAAATCTTTCTCTGCACGTTTGAATATTATAAGTAACTCTCAATAAGTCTTTACTTTTAGTGTTATATACATTATACAGTGTACACAAATTTTAACGATGCTTATGATTATTATTATGTCCTTTACTTCTGAGAATAAATAGAATATTTTAACTTTTTTTCTTTGAATTCCATTTTATTATTTATCTTACTTATTATTATTTATATTTTTAGAATCTATTACTTAATTTATAACGCACAGCATATGTATAAGAATAAAGTACACTTAATTAATGTTTATATTTGTATTAGGCCTTCTTTTTAATAATCTTCTTTTGATCAGAGTTTTTAAGAAGCTTTTAACAATTTCTTTTTTTGCAGTAATTAATTCTTGAACTTCTCGAAGATCTCAAGCATCTCGCTCATTTTAACTTTCATCGTGAACAACATAAAATTCTGCCATTAAGAACACACACGTCTCAGGTGTGCTGCATGCCAGACGGTTTCCGCGTAATGAAACGGGAGAGGCGTGCGTATGCATACGTGCGCGCTTCTATTTGCAGAAATGATTTGTATTACCCGATCGACCAACGAATATTTCATGCCGCGCAGTCGTTTCTCAACAACCCCTCTGATTTTTCGATGAACCGCGTTCATCAAATCGATCCCACCAATAAATCGACTGATCCTTTATTTTAACAGAGATTAATGAGGATCACCAATTTAAAAAGCTTGCGAAAACTCTGTAACCAACCTTTCCTACTCGTTACAAGTATATTGTAACTAATTACAGATGTATATAAAGATATTGGAAAATAATCAAACAGATCAAACAATTTTCGAAAAAAAGTACTGGCATGCTTATTTTAATACTATAACTAATGGTTATTACATTGGCATTAATTGGATAACGTACCGCTGAAATTAGAATTGATTTATGTAAATGCATTAGAAATTTTGTTTTATATTTTGCTATTACAAGAAACTACCACAAATGATTGTTTCACTCCGATTTTTTTACCTTAAAAAGAATACAATAATTAAAATACACTGTTATAACCGCATTTTAATTTTCATATTAGAAAAATATAAATGCAAGAGTTGTTTAATAAGTGCATAACAATAAAAATGTTTAGTATCCTTATAAATATGACAGTTACTTATAAAAATTCAATTATAAACATTTTGCGTTGACGAGTATTTTTTGAAAACTTTAAACTAAAAATTTTCGTAAATCATATTAATGATAATTTGTAAATACATAACATTTATCACACTTTACTCGCCATTAAACTGTAAATTCGTGGATCAGAAAACGAAAGGTTAAAGGGATTGCGGTTATGCGTCCTGGAAAGGTGTGCGCTGCAAAATGCAGCCACGGTGTCGATGGATATTGGATATGGACCATGGGGTGGCTGGCTGCGCATCGTGCACGAGCTACGGGGTAGCAAAGCTAAGCCAGTAATGCAATAACTTGAATAGATGGGTATGCAGGCGGAAAGAACATAACCTATCCCTCTGGTCACCCTCTCCCCCACGGTTTTCTTCATCCCTCTCTGATTTTGTGTGTCTGTCTCCCGTCCCTGAACCCATAGGTGCATGCAGTACCGTTCACAATTGCCATCGAATACACGAGCAAAGCTGATTTCAGCTTTGGTTTACCTTGACTGCCAGAGATTTTTTCTTAATTGTGTACGTCCAAAGACATGTTCTAAATCTTTATTTGTAATTTTAAAACAGAACGATAAGGAACAAAAATTTTCTTTATGACATGTATTTATAATAAGAGTTATGTAATATTTCTAAAATACTGTTAATCCTTTGCACTTGAGAGACGACTGTCAGTCGCTACCTGATTTGATCCAGCAAAATTATAAATTTAATATTATACTTTATATAATTTATCAATATATGAAATATTAAAATAAAAAAGCTTTGTTCCTTACTTTATCTGTGATGCCTCTTTAAATTGTTTCCATAAAGTGTTGTCTATATCTCATTAGAAAGTGTTGAATATTTCTAATGAAACACTGTCGAGTGCAGAGGGTTAATATTTCTTACGTAATGCATTCATGATGCCGACAGCCAGGAAGTTAAACTTATCATTATTTTGTGCCTTATACATTTTGAAATTTATTTTGTAACTAACAGAAAACGATAAAGCACGATTTTTACATTGGAAGATCTTTCTAACCTTTTCTCCTATAATACTGTGCCAGACTCGTAATGAAAATTTTAAACCGAATTTAGAGTAAACATAGATACAGAATAAGTGCCAAAATTTTTCTTATTTAATTATTAAGGGAAAAGTAGTTTTATTAAGCACAATTGTAAAGGAAATCATAGGACAAGGGGTTAAGATATATAAGAAGCAGCTCTACCAATGATACTGCAAAGAAGAAAATACGATTGTGATTTTTGTTGATGTGGAAAAGCGATTCGAATAATTATGAAAGGTACTGTACAGATCAGCGTACATACCATAACCACTCGGACTATGCTAGGAGGGTGAATCTAGCGGGGTTTTAGCCCTGGTTCCAAAGTACCCCAAATATAGTCCGTTACGTTAAAAGGCTTTTAATATGCGTGCTCATTCACTTACTCGATTCTCCCTGGTTCGATTCGATCGCAAAATCGAAAACATTCCCTTGGGCTTTTCTTGCAATCGGGAGTATTTCGTGATTTCTCATCGACATGATCGGAACAAAGAATTCATGTAGTGAATGAATCCGAAGTATATTTCATGTGTGCGCTTTCTATTCTTATCAAAATTAATATTTATAAAGCTAGGCATCGAACTAATATTTATAATTATTTCAATTACTATCTGTGGTTATTTCTAATATATTAGAAATACAATATATCTATAATATATTACCTATAGGTAGCGTTATATTATAATATATCTATAATATATTACCTATAGGTAGCGTTATATTATAATATATCTATAATATATTACCTATAGGTAGCGTTAGAAAATAATGTGAACATATATTCTGTATTTTATATTAACAATATTTATTTAATATGATAAATGCAATTTTATAACATCTTTGTATAACGACGACTGACCAACGACTGAACAAAACATAAACTGTTTCTAATGAATTGTTTCTATGCTATTTATGTAACATATTGAATAATCTTTACATATATCAAACATTATTCTTGTGTATATGCATATATTAACAATATCTGTTGAAGGGTTTATGCTGACTGGATTAACATCAACATTATTGACTTTATTCACCGTTATTCACAGTTCAAACACATTTTTCTTATCAGTTCAACGCGCATAAAATTCGAAGAAATTGAAGGTCTTTGTTTTACTGAAACATCTTACAGTCATTCTTTTTATCTTTCTTGTATTTCGTAACCTTTAATTGAGTTTCTCTTATTTAATATTCCAGCTAAAATAGAATCGAAGATTCGTGGATGGTATAAAAGTTTAAGCGTAATTGTTAATTATCTTTATAATTTACAATTAAACTGCATTATGTATTTATAATACACATTGATGTGTATGATCAAATAAAGCGTTCTTTATTTTTATTCATTGAAAGTTTTTAAAGAAACAAGTAATTTTCCATTTATCATGTATACTTATTGATTAGTTCTAGAAGACGTGACTGTATATAATATCGTTGTAGTCTATAAAGGTGTATTACTATTATAATAATTTTCATAAAAACAGAATATTCTATGTAACGGAAAAACTTGAATTTTTAGTGAAATGCTTTTACGCTGCTTAATATTGCATGATAAAAGAACATAATACACATATTTTCATTTTCGAGGTATTCCACCGAGGCATTGAGCTTTGACTTGAAAATTTTATTATATTTTACTTTTAAAAGGAAAAATCTGTTTAATTGGTCTAGAATAAAATTAGTTTTCTTTCATTTTCTAGATGCTAATTAAGGTCTGCATACAAATTTGTTGAAAATGTAACTTAAGTCGTTTTGTCCTACTTATAAAGCTAAAGCTTTTTTAATATTATTCTACAAAAATTCATTTTGTGCTTCATAAGAAGATAGCGTTAATACAACAATTGGTATTATCTACTCTCACACTGATTGTGAGAATAGAAACAGCACGTTTACAAG